TGTTAGGCAACGCTAGGGATCGCTGCCTATAAAAACGTCGAAAGCTTTATAACTGTAAATAAAGATTGACAAATGACATACAACCAACGAAAAGATTTATTGATGAAAACGAAGCCATAAAGCCGTTTTCACGTCAAAGAACACGCGTAAAAGCATAATATATATATACACACCGCTATATAGTTTGGTGAACTTTTTAATTTATGATGCTATCCGTGTTGCAAGTAATTTTAAAAGTACCCGTTATGCTAATGTACACATGTTTGTGATATATTATGAGACAGATTGCTGTGACATGGGATACACTTACTTATGACATTCGATACATATGCGTATGATCTATGATACCCATATACACGTTGTTATGTTTTCTATATAACTTTTTCAATAAAGAATATTTTTACGTAGGTAGTTAATGCACACAAACCGGTAGAGGTAAACTTCTACCGGTTTTTGTTGTGATAAATCAGTCATTTCAGTCATGTCAGTTCAATCAAACCCCATGATTTTGACTAAACAATCCTTTAAATATTAATCTACAATATGTATACAATAGGGTACTAAATTTTATTTAAATACGCCCAATAGTTTTTTTCATAGCAGAGTAACAAACATAATTTTTTCCAAGCTAACATATTTTTTGGTTTTTAAAAAACAACTTTATAATTTATAAATAACAATAATATTTAATTTATGCCTTCTAACTACGTTAAAGAGATTATTATGATCGTAACAATCCATTAACATCCCACCCGTAGAGTACGGGTCTCTTTGTCCCGTCACAATATTGCATACTTATATAACAATTACCATACGCTTACTATACAATTAGGTAAATTTTTTTTTTCGAATTACTGTACTATAATACAAAGACGTCACACCTGGGCATAGTCTTACCTATTTTCGCCGCCATACAATGTGCATTGCAATATGTGTTTCGATTGTAAAGTGAGATTAAGCAGTGAAATTACAGGATACAAAGACATGACTTAGTTCTCCGGAATGGTAATGCATCGTGGTATCACGGGCATCACATGATAACATGATGTCCGTAGTGCTGTTCATCTATGTGGGTGACGGTTACATCAGATGGGGAAGCATTTTTGTCCATTGAATAAAAATAAACGATTTTTTAATAAGTTTGTCAGTCATGAGAGCTGTAGCATACATTCAGATTTGATATATTAATGTAGTCATTTCAGATACGTTTCTAAATAAGACAGGCAACACGAAATGAACAGGTCTGTAATTTCACGCGGTCAACACAATGCCAGTCATATTTTGTGTTTGTGTTATGACAGTGCTATTCTAGAATCTATTGTCGATTCATTTATAATCTATTTTTATTCGTAGATAGGTGATTATTTGAGGTTAAAAAACTGCAAATAAAATTATGTATATATGTAATTAAAATTATAATATTAAGTTTGACTAAAAGTCAAATTATTATTACAAGTTTTCTTTTTATTCTATGATGGTTGCAAACAAGGATGCGGTCCGTCTGATGGTAAATGGTTACCGTAGTCTATGGACGCCTGAGAAGCCAGGGGTATCACGTGCGCGTTGCCGACTCCTAAGAAACCCTCATATATCCTTCTTGAAAAACCCCATGCTGTAACCTTGTGAACAAACAATCAAATCTTTCTTCTTTGTAATATTATTAGATACAGAAAATATTAAGGGTAAGGATGATCGAAGTAATGAACTTCAGCGTAGAGTAAACTTATATATGACGACTAATTTATATACATACCTATGAAAGAAGAAAACATGGAGTATGTTAGTCTACAAACAATGGTATAAAAGTAAGGCATTTAAGAAGTTCTATAATATAAATAGAAATTATACGATAAAATTATTTCTAATAAATAAGGTAAACTAAATATCTAGTAGGTAGATTTCCATTTATGTTAAATTATTGGTATCGAAACAAATTTCAAACAAAAAGTCAAACTTACTACTTTATTATTAGGCGGAGGAAATAATTTAGTACTAAGTTAGATACAAATTTATATAGAAAAAACTCTGGTAAAGAAATAAAAGTAACATGTATAACTATAATAATAAGTATGCTAAATTATGTATAAACAACTACAGCTGTTACACGCCACTTCGTCTGCACATTCTCATTGTATTTCATACACTTTCAGTTATTTTTTTCGAGCTAAATGATATGTCAAGAAAAGAAGACTTATGGAGTCTGAAGGAGCGGGTGAAGGTCAACACCTACCTGATGAATACGACTTTAATCTTATAGGACTAGGGTTCGAACATCGACTTAGGCCGTCGTAATTTCGATGCTCATTTGAATGGGACAGGAGATCGATTGAAGGGGCGAATCAGCGAGCGACTGCACATCGTTTATATAGATTCTATACTACTTTGCCTTTTCACTTCTACTTTTATACTACACTATTTCATAATAATTCATAGTATATATTTATATTTGATGGCCTCAGTGTTCCAGCACACCTAGCCTTACTTCCGATGGTCGCGGGCAATGGCAACGGTAACGGCACAAACATTTGTATTCATGAGTATGATTGTTTGTATCCGTCCGGTTGTCTTCTAATTAATTTACGTATGTATTTACGAAAAATATCTATGTGTATGTATCAGTTATCTAACCACTAACACAAGCTTTAGCTAGCTTAACTTGGTTCTAGATGGCGCTGTGTGAATTGTCCTAAGATTATTATTGTTATTTAACCCTAAAAACTATTTACATAACATGGTGTGCGCAACAGCTGTCACTTAGAAGTTATCTCCACTAAAATCTTTTTCATAGGTCATTTTATATTAAGTTAACAATGCCTTTGCGTAATCAGATTATCCGAGGCATTATGAGTCCATTAAGGAAAACATCGCGATAAAATTTGTAGAAGTTAGATGATAAAATCTTTATGGGCATGCTATATTTTTTAGCATACCAACATGCTGAAGAATAAGAAGGAACATATGTCAATATTTTCCACTTAAACATCAACATGTTTAAATGGGAAATGATGAAATACGTATTAAAAGAACTGTGTATATTACTTTTAAAACTTATGTTCGATTATGCACTAATACACACACACACATACACAAACACACACACTATATTTACACACAAAATATTACACACTACATTTTCTTTATGTCTGACTAGTGGTTCAACTGGCTTTGCCCTGGTAGTCATAATTTAACATGTCGAATTTTGTATATATTAACATAGCAAATATTAGTCTTCTTCTGTCGCTTTAGAAAATGGAACGTCGAAACTATAGTGGTGATATTGTTATGTTTCTTTTTACGAGGTTATACACATTCTTCTTGAACATTCATCAACTCACAAAACTATATAATATTTTTTATTATAATTACTACACGCAATAGTCCTCCATTAGACATAGTAATAAAAGAAATCAACACCAGAGCTGGTACAAAAAGAATTAAAATCAAATAAGTACCGTCCATTTTCGCTGAAACCATGTTTTAACAGAGGTTAATGTAGAAGGGACCCACAGTAATTCACCCGATTCTGCTTAGTACCCTTCTTCAATTTAAATATTAATCGAATTAAGCGCCTCTGTTTATTTTGTCTTGAAAAACAGACCGATAAAACCCAACGCAAACACATAATCACATTAAGCAGGTAGATTAAGACAATACTTTACACAGATCCACGTTTGAAATTTATTACGCAAACAACGTAGTTGGACCCTTGTGGAAGATTAAGTGCTTTATTATCTAAGTAACAATAAAGAAAAGAAAGAGTCCACATCATCTTCTTTTTTTGGAATGGAACAATATAAACATAATGTTTACGATCTCGCATAAAAACTGTCCTTATTAACTAAAAAGCTTGGTTACATAAATACAAAAGGAAAGTATATTGCAATGTATTTATTGACGTATACACAATATTGTTGTGTAAGATTGAATTTGTCCCGGATTACGGTTCCATAGTAACGAGTTCCGGCCAAACAGAATACTTGAATAAGGAAACATAGTCGTTCTCTTTGAAGAAAATGAAATTCATAAAGAGAAACTTTATACACTAATTGGGAAAGATGTAACACGATTCGTTAAAATTATTTGTAAAGTGTATCCTAATTATAGCCTTAAATATAAGCAGATAAATACAAAACAGACAATGAATGAAGCTCTGGAACAAATCCACCCGGAAAATATTTCGTGAACTTTTTTATAATTCCAAAGTAATAAAGAAAGTAATTAAGCCGCTCATTATTATTAATCAAACATCGAATTTTTCTTATGGAATTTATTGGAATTTGAAGATAAAAAGGGACTGGAATACTTTAGGTACGATATCATCTTCATTTAAATGTGCCCGTGGGACTTTTTCATAAAAGAATGTGGAAAGAAAATACATAAACAAGGGGAGTATAAACGAATACCTTTTAACGATAATGAGATATTATGTGTTTTAGCCGTAATAGTATTCAGATAAGGACTCGGGGCCCAGGCTAATATTAAATAAATAAATATCTTATATCCGTGGCTTTATTTATTATTGGAAAATTTTATTACCTGTCACGAATACTAATTTTGTGCCTATAGATAAAGTAACTTCAATTGAAATTATTATTAGCTAGACAGTATTATTTACTATACGCCTGCCTTTTTGAAAACGACATGTAAAACCTTTTTTTATATCGCAAGAAACATACAGCTCTATGTTAGCATGTAACACTCAAACAAATCTGAAAGAAACTTATAAAATCCATCAATATCTAAAATTCTAATATCTGAAATATTTCTTTTTATAATTACAATATAATTAATTACTAGTCTTATGAATAATATAATTCATTTGAACTTTTATCAAATATGCAGTATACGGCATATAAATAACAAAATATTTTGACTTGAATAATAATAATTGGGTGACTTTTCGTTTCTCTAACCGACGCGATTCTACGACATCATATGTTATATGTATACATCATACATACCTATATTGTATTCAATTTAATATTTTTAATGAGACTTACCAATGAATATCAATGCGCAGGAAGTGACGACAGCACTGGATATCGGTGTCATAGTGATCATTTCGCTTGATCCTTCTTCTTGAATAGCCACTTTATTTCTAGCACATCATACATTTTATTTATTTACACTTTCACTTTTTACTTTGTCTTTTATTATTACAATTTATCATAAAAATTCTTTTATTCATTAATAACATTGTTATCATTGTTTCTACAAATTATATTTATTGTCAGTTAATTTATTTTGAACTTCAATTCCATGATCTTTTATTTCAGATTCAATTAAAGGCGTAATGTCATTAGAAGTATGTCCTTAATTGAATCCAGCCTTTGTTAAATTATTTGACACTTCTAACACTGCTCTATTGATCAATTTGTGTAGATTCCCAAATTGTCTGTTTCCTGCTGCTGCCTCTTCCGATGCTCCAAATTTCCTGAAACAAAGTGCCGTAATTTAATCAATGGCTGTATTTGCATACGATTTGCGTACCGGATGTGGCTGTGCGAAATTTTGGTTAGGCTCCAAATAAGATAAGCATATGTAAAGTGCAGTAAGAGTAATTTGTATAGTTTATGTTTGTAAATTTTGTTTTATAATTGTAAAATATAATTTAATTAAATTATATTTTACAATTACTTATACTCTGTAATATTAGGAGCAATGAGTATATATTGGCATAAAAATAATACGCGCAATAACTCTGTTATTAAAAAAGTGCCATGTAATCTCAGTTTAAGACAATGGATATATATATATATACACTGAACACTTAACCACTGACATCTTTAATTTTTAAAACCACATATATTATAGATATACTTATGGGCGTATGCGAACAGATATATTCATGAATAAAAAATCTAACATTTAATGCCGACAAAATCATTAACACCAGAGTTTCTTGTCTGTTCTAGGCTCAAACTACATTCTTAACTGATGATAGATTTCAATTATAATGTATGCACATGTATGCACGTATTATACTGACATAAATAAAGATGTTATGATTTATTTGATAAGATTTGTATTTCGGCATGAAATCACATCAACAAGACCTTAGATTAGAGTAAGTACCCTGACAAAAAAATAAGAAAACGATAGAACATGTTTACTAACTTTCATATGTGTAATGTTCGTATGTTATGTAATATAACACATAGAGCTCAATGCTCCAAATTGTTTGTAACCTTGATCAATCATTCTAGAATGATTGATTGTGCATTATACTCATACATTAGACGATAGGATTATTTTCAGTATTAACAGAAATATTATTTAGGTTAATGTCCAATATTAAATTATATTCTTGTTCTGTTATCACTTCCGGTTTTTCGATAGTAGTGGGGCACAAGATGGCGGCCTATGAACAGTGACTCATACAAAAAGGGCATTATAGGAGCAGCCGGCGAACGGAATGAAGTGAGTTGTGTGCATGTTTCTAATACATCTTCTACATTGAAAATATCAAAAACCATTTTCATAGATATTATTAATCATTTTATTTTAATTATTAAAACTGGTAGGCCGTTGTACCGTGGCATTAAACCGTAATTAAAAAAAAAATGTCAAAAGAATGTAAGGAGCGCTACAATAAATTCTTTTCATGAAATTGTTTGTCCTGACAGACTATCAACGCTCGGCCTAAACTTAATAGTTTAGAAAATAGATTTATTTTATAATGTAAGCCTATGGTAAGAAAGGATTTTGGAAAAGGCTCATGAGAAATTAGGCGTACTGGTAAACTAGCGGGAAACAGCAGGTCTAAATTAATTAGGCCAGTTTAGTTAAACGATAGTTTTTAACCTTTACACAGATGACAACAATGAACACTTGACATATTATCCCATATTTTACACCTATTTAAATGCTACGTAGTACGCGATGACCCCACCGGTTTCGCCAGGATTAATTTTGTTTGTTTTATCACCAATTAGTTCGTCATAAATAAAAACCACATTAAGCAGAGATTTAAAATTCGAACTCATGATGTGTTAAAAGCAGGTTGTAGCTATAGCAAACTGTTTTCAGGACATTACTTCCATGTTACTGCTGACTTTCATGACACATTTTCACTAGCTGACTGTACATTTTTACCGACATAATAGGTACTTGTAATAAAAGTAGGTCATAAATATAGGCGTCACACTCATGTGGCGTCCGGTGGAATTATTCAGGCACTATACATCAAAACCGGAGCGTATATCTTATGAGGGACCCACATGTAGGGATGACCGATATTCATAGTTGTTTAGTCGAATATCGATGTTTTGACATCGATTTACTTTTTGATAACATTGATACATCGATGACATTAAGAAACAAATCAATAACCGAAAAATGGGACGTCACAAATAAAATATTCGTGGACTAAAAATAAGTTTAACCGAGGAAGCGACATAGAAACAAGAACGCTGAGTCATTGATAGGTCAAGGAGCAACGTCGATGTATTTGCCATAAATATTTGTCATTCAATAATGATCATACATCAACACATATGGATCGATATCGACATCGATGTTTTTCTAATATTGATCATCCCTATCCACGAGTTTTTCAGTAGATAATATGTAAATATTACCCTCCAAGTTGACGCAAATATTATCCCGGGGCGAGATTTAAAAAGTTTGATGCAATGTTAATTTCCCAACATCAGAGGTAAAAAGCCTGTTTTGTATTTAAGCAGGTGTCTCTTGATTTTGTTTGAAACATTCGGAAACCTTGGCTCCATCCCGAGAACTCGTTACAAAGTTGCCCTCCAAACAAATTGAGTCAGTTGCAGACATAAAGATTTTTATTAAAAGTTTTAACCTGCGCCCGGAGGTAGCTACTTGATTGATAATTTAAATAAGGCGACCTATAGCTCTTAAACCTGTAAAGACGGGTTTATTAAAAAACTAATTGTTACATCTTCATAAACTTTCATCCCCAATTTCAAAATCATTAAAAGCCCTCCTATTAATATTAGTATGACCATGAAATACATTAAATGGATATATTTATATACAGTACTTAATCTTGCATACACATAGATAAAGCGTAATTCTGTTTAACCTTTGTAGAATGTAAAATAGTAACCAGTAAGGTAACCAAAATATAAAAATAATGATATTGATGCTTTCTTTTCCGGAACTTTTATAATATTTAAATATTATCGCGTCTATTTACATGATAGCATCTAAAGTACCAGTATACTGTTGGGATTAGACATTTCGTTTCTATGCATGCGGGTCTCTCCATATTATCACATAAAAATCGTTTGTTTTTCCCACTGCTAACATATTGTAGACACTATAATCTTGTCTCTGTAATATTCATTGTCCTACTACATAGAGTAATAGTCTCAGAGCATTTGTATCCTTTCTTTCTGTAAGGCTAGAAATTATTTTAAAGATAAATCAAAGAATGTTAAGTACAATTACATCGTCATCGCTGTTTTCTTGGAAGCTCAATACGATGCACTAACTTTACTAATTACTCCTAATTACAGCTTTTACTAATAACTAATTTTTGAAATTCTTAAGTAGAATAAAAATTACGTGATATTTCGATGAGTATTGTTGAAAGTACATTATATATATATATAATAAAAAGATATATATAAAAATTTATAAAATAAGAAAACACTTGATTTTATGTTTATAATGGATAAATTAAAAAATCTTTAATATAGACAGCTACGTTGCCTATTGCGGGCTTTGGGGTACATAGATACATAAAAAATAGAGAACCATGCGTGAATTACATGCGTGCGAAGTATAAGCTAGCTATAAAAAATGCGAAAATATATATTTTAGGGGACTTTATTTATCACATTTTTTAATTCACCAAATAATACCATTTAATTATATAATGAGTCTTTTAATTAATCAATAGTTTACTTATTAGAAAAATATGAATATATAGTATGCATGTGACACTCTAATATTCTGTGTACAGTTTTTTATTTATTTATTTATATTCCTAGTTTATTTATAAATAGACGTAGTTATTATAATTTTTGTTTGAAAACCAGACGAAGAGACGGCAGTATTAAATTCATAATTGCGGAAATGTAATTAAGGTTTCTTTTCATCGATGTTCTTTAGAAAAAAATTAATTAATACAACGGAATAAAATCGTATATTTTATAAGATTTCGTTAATTTTGTGCATGAAACTAATATATTTAATTATAAAATATTCCTAGTTATGAAATAGGTATAGAAATATATTTTTAATGAAGATTATTTCATTCATATAAAAAAAAACTTAATATCAACACTTTTGAATAGTCATATTTTTTTTATTACTATTACTCATTATGAAGATATGTCGTAGGTTGTTGTACTGTTAGCCTGTAGTATTTCATATGTAGTTGTAGTATTATTTCCAACCTTTCAGAATAGTGTCAAGTGACAGGAATGTACTCGCAATTAAAAGATTTCTTCTTTCACATTTCACACTAGTTTATTGCTATACTGAAATTAAAACAAGCGTCCATTTTTAATTTATAACTGGAATAGCACGTATGTACACCGCAGACATCATGTCATCATGTTTATTTCTGAGAACGAGGCACATGCTTTCATACTTTTACTCACATTAAGGTGAGTTGTAATCAAAATTATATTTGACTAAAATTGCTTAACGGTTGACATAGGTGAGACAGCGGTATCCACACAGACAACTTCGTGCAAAGTCTACTTTGATAAAAAATGCTTTTTGTACGACAATTAATTATCGTTTTAACTCCATAAATTCAGATTCAAAATATCTTTATTCATATAGGTCTAATACAGACTCTTATGATATATCAAATCTACCGTCAGTTCAAAATTATTTCGAGATGAGAAGAACATCGTACACAAAGAAAACATCCAGACCGACACAAACACTCATGAATACAAATGTTTGTGCTGTGCGAGGAATCGAACCCGCGACTATCGAAAGTAAGGTATGCTAAACCACTAGACCACCGATGCTGTCAAAATTTACAGCATACTCTGTAACCATCACAGTTTTCGCTCATTACAATATTTTAATAACATTATTTTAATTATAACATGTCATTACTAAATTTATAATAAGTTTCTCTAATGTTTAAAAATAATAATCCCTTGTAATAAATATCCGTATTCCATACGAGATAAAACAAAGAATTCTGTTTACGTTTACACAATTACCGGGCTAATCTAAACGTAGAAATCAGTAATCAGGCAAGCCTCATACCGAAAACACGAGCATTGATTGGTTCATTTAGTGGGGAACCGTAAGCAAACGATCAATGTACGCGTAATCAGTTCGTGTTAGTTTAGCCGATGCTTTTCAATTAAATATTCGATTGAATCCAATCATGTACTCGATTTTATTCCCGAATATTATAATTATCGTTTTAATTACGATAAAACGTAACGTAATTAGACTGGGTTCAAGTAGATAAATTTAAATTTGGAA